TGTCATTTAGTGGGACAGCTGCCACTGTCAGGGCATCACAGCCAATCCCAAGTGGCCAAGAGATTTTCCATTGCTATGGTAAGTATTAACTCTGTGTTTGTCTCAAGGCACAGGCATTCTTTCACCTTTACTTGGCACGCTGACTGATTTCTATTAATATCATAATTCGCAGTGTGACGTTGCTAGAGTCTTTGTTTATGCATAAGCCTTGATCAAAGATATCAAAGGAAGAGTTTATCTCCCAAGCTCACTGTTACGTTTTCAGTCTCCAGTTATGTCCTTTCCAAAAGATGACGTACCTAGTCTCAGTTGTAACAAAGATAGATTTAGTCTGATGTTAAGAACCGTACCTGTTCAGTGATTTCTACCCTTGCTGTCCCTTTGCAGGGCCTCACCGATGCAGAATGCACGTTGCTGAGAGACAGCAGCTTCTCAGGCAGTATTTCTTTGAGTGTCGCTGTCAGGCATGCCTTGATGAGTTAGAATCTGATGTCAAGAGTGTGGTGTCCGTGAGAAACTCATTCTGCTGTCCTAGCTGCCGGGCTTCCATGCAGGTAGTTCTTCCGTAGTAATGATTGTGTAACTTACTGGGATGTGTAATCTTTGACTCTCTGGGAAATTAAAGACCTGAGTCCATGACCTCTGCTCAGAAGGCAAAAGCGCCCCCGTAGAGTCAAGACAGTATCTCACTGCTCTTATGAGCTTCCTTGTAATGTTCTTGTGTGTCAGTCTTCCAGCATTATAGGGAAAATAATGCCTTTAACAGCAAGTGAAAATCTCTTTGAACTTGCTGAGGAAACCCTGGAGTATCAGACTGGGGAAAGGAGGAGATTTAGGAAACAAAATGGAGGCCTAGTGTCTAGAACAGAAAGTGTACTTACAGGTGCTGTATGTAGTGAGAACCATGCTCTCTGCAGTTCACAGGATGTAAATGAAAATGTCTAACCTGAGTCAGTGAGAAGTCGATGTAGTATGTGTGTTGTATGAACGTTAGTTCTGTACCTTGTGACCCTGCTTTGACCTAATCTGTAGCTCACATAGTCGTAGCAATTTCTCATAAAATCAAATAGGCTAATAGCAATTCATAAGCAAGTCACTTTGTTTAATGAATGCAGCTGACAAGCTGTTTAGCATCTCTGTAACATCATACAGAGATAATGGAGATGGAAAGTAAGCACTGAGTTGAACGTGAGCAGGAGTGATCACAGGGATGATTTCCACAGGGGGAAGACATGCTTTGTTGTTCAAATGAAGCTTGTGCAATCTCAGTCAGCAGACAGAGCCTGTCGCGCCGTTTACAGGACCTTCAGCAGCAAATCAAGGAAGCATTAGAGCTGCTAAGAGACAGGAAGGCTGGTAAGGCTCAACATTCTGCTTTAAGGTCAGCAGCTAATGAATACACGTCGGGAGATGTAGTTGTAGCCATGAGATGGCACTGTTGCTTATGCAGCTGGGGTCTTCTGGCATGCAGCCTGGTGTCCCTGGGGACTCGAGCTTTAGGTTTTTTATACTCCTGATCCGGGTGTTAATCTAAGTCACACGTTGTTCCACGCTAACTAAAAGAACTCAGGGTAACGTTGGAGTTACACGTTCCCAGGCCTTGCTTTCCTGGAGTGAGTTGGACCGATGCTGTGTTAAGATAAGCAGCGTTGCAGATATTGAATCCTAACCAAATCTCAATCTAGCTGTGTAAGATGCAAAGATGAGATTGGACTGATTTTATTTCATGGGTCCTGAAAAGCTGGAGGCTGGCCAGCAGGATGAATTTTATACCCTGTTTTGTTATAGATCAGGCTATCAAAATGCTCCTGAAGTGTCAGATGGATGCTGGAAACTTCTTGTCTCCAGAGCATTTGCTGATGGGAGAGATGGAGGATCATCTGGCACAGGTCTATGCTACTCTAGGTATGACATTGTCCTCTCATTATTTTTAGTTTTCTGAACTTTGAATTTATCATGGCCAGCCTTTTCCCTGACGAGCCCTTTCACGTTTCTCTAGTTTTGACAGCAGGGCTCTCAGAAAGACTGGTTTAGCCAAAGCTGCGTTCCCAACAGCTAGTGAACAATAACGTGATCTCAAGTTCTTCTACATTCTCTCTCCTGGTTTGGAGGTCAGCAGCCTGCAAAGAATGCTGTGGATATCGTTCATCTCATTTTGCATAATACTCTCAAATTCTTTGGGTGTCAATAGCAAATACAGCATTTATTCATGACTCATATTTTTATTTGGTTGGTTTGTTTGTTTGTCCATCAGGAAAGTGGCAGGATGCAGCCAGACACCTGCAGAGGAGTATTGAGATTGTGGAAATGCATCATGGGCCATCAAGTATAGAAATGGGTCATGAACTTTTCAAGCTGGCACAAGTTCTCTTCAATGGGTAAATTTGCTTTCATTCTCTGTACCTTCCCTGCACCGCTCCTGTGTGTCTGACATCATATCATGGCAGGTGGTTGCTGGCACCTTGCAGGACCCTGGGCAGTCTGGCACAGGTACAAAAGTTGGCCGTTACTCAAGTGCAAGTTCATTAACTCCACTGACGTTCACTAATACCTCGTGACTCTCTTTGGACCCGTTTCTCTGCTTTGTACCTGTGTATTCTTTTTTACTCCCTGGCTCCATTTATTTCCTATCCTATTGTTTTATTTTGACAACTCCTCACTCTTGGTGTTTACACCTAAGGTGTACAGCGTTGCTGACATCTTTTCAAAGGAGGAAATAAAATCCCATCTTTATATTTTGGCCCTCTTTTGGCAAGCAAGTCCCCTGACTGCTCCTGCAAATCTAACAACTACTCCCTTTGACCGAATGAATTTTAGCAGGAGCTGCAGTAAGGAAGCAGTGAGTACCTATATTCAAATATAATGTTTTAAGTTTCTGTCCACCTCCTTATTGTTTATCCCCCATCCTCCCTTTGTGGCTGAAGCACGTGCTACTTGCCTGGTGCTGAAAGACAGCGGAGAGTAGGATCTATACCCATGAAGAGATTTAGGTTTTTGTTGAGGAGGGATTGAAGGTTGAGGAAGTCAAGGGAGCTGAATTAAGTATTTTGTATACTCTCTTCTTACTATCTTCCTGTTTCAGATTTGCAGTTTCTGAAGCTCTGAGCACGATTCAAAGAGCAGAGAAGATTTTGTCAGTGCACTGTGGTCCTCAGAGTACTCAGATCCAGGAACTACAAGAGATGAGGACCTGTCTGTTAGAGCTTCCCAGAAGCATCCTTCAGAGGACTTAATTTCCCTGTCAAAGGAAGCTGCAATGTGATCTTTCATCAAAGCTAAGTTTCATGTGGTATGGTAGTCATGTAGTACAAGCAGGAAAATCATGTGTAACAACAACTTGAATGAAATCTGAAATGCTTTTTAGTGAGACCGTTGTAAATAAAATGACCAATTCTAACATGAGAGGTCTGTGTGTGGTATGGTGAGAATAGATGCTGCTGTATAATTTCTGCATGTCGATTCGAAGCAAATAAGTTTGAGATGCTTGTGTATGCTTGTGTTTCCAGAAATGTGCATCTCCCCTATGTGGTACCTTGGTTATGAACATGCAGTCATCCAGACCACGCTGCCTTTTGTTTCTAATGCTGCCATGCGCTTTCATTCTTGCGGGTGTGAAATGTAAACGGTTGGAATGGGTGAGGCTGGGAAGTGCAAACTCGTAAGCTGTAAGAGAGGGCACTGCAGAACTTGAAGGGCCACCAGAACAGACCTGTCAGTGATGAGGGATTCAGTATAAACAACTGGCATCAAGTTGCAAGACAGGATAGGGAAAAATGCAGTATACACCAGACTGATGCTTGCATCTAGGACACAGAACTGCATTGTGGCTCATCTGGGGAAAATAGGAGTGTAAAGGCATACAATGTAGGCAGACAATCTTTTAAGGGAGAATACTGGGGCTTGCACAGATTAATAGCAAAAGCTCTTTTATTGCAGCATGAAGGCATAAAATTTGCAAGTTGTGTCTTTGTGCAGCAGAGCAGGGAGCCAGTATCCCTCCCAGTACCACCCTTTCCATTTGGGCCCTACCATTGCAGATTATTATGAAGGGATCTAAACACTCCTGGGATCCAGGATCTTGCCAATGAAGAGGAGAGTTCCAGTGGTATCATCTCGCAGTACAAGAAGGAAAGGTTTGTCCACATGATATTCTATGGGGAAGGTCAGACGAGCAGCATTCACCCCAGGATTTGGCGTGGATCTTTCCCCATCTTCACTAAGCTCCAGAACTGCCTTGTGTTGCACATGAGATAGCTTAATCGGTTTGGCAGAAATCTTGGTAAAATCAGGTGATGTGAAAAGTGATTGAAGCCCTGGAGGAAAGAAAGAAAATTCCATTAGCTAAAAGCAGAGGTTGCAGGTCGGGGAGCAGTACTGCTAATGCTGTGATCCAGGAGGGCACATAGCTGCTCTGGTAGAGTTTATTTGGGGTAACAGGGAGAAGCAGCTTACATCTGTTTGTACTGACTTCTCCCTCTGAACCTCAGAAGCGTTGTATGAGCTTGGTGGGAAGATCTGATAAAAAGCTGAGGAGTCCTGGACCAAGGTGATTTAGTTCCTGGTGAAATCTCTACAGACTGACAGCAGGACCTAACTAATAACCCACCAGCTTCGTATTCTTCTGAGAGCAGGAAGCAACTTGCCCACCACTTTGAGCCCGGGCAGTCTGCAGAGGGGTTGTGATGTACATACTTGTCTCCTTTAGTGTGTTGCCAAGTGCCTCTTCATAGTTCAGCTTTAGTTTGGGCAAGCTTAGCACAGCGTGGACTGTCTTCAGCTCTCTGTCTACATCACGGACAAACTCCGAAGTAAGGCTTTCCTCAATCAGAGTCATATTCTGGGTCACCTTGGTAGGCAGGAAGAACATGGCACTGATTCCCTCGGTCAGTGGCAGCTGGGCGATCTGAAAGGCCAGTTATAAATAAAAAGGGTCACATCAGTAATAAACAGTTTTACCCACCTCGTACTAGGCACAAGTCTGAATCTCGACAGCCCAGTCAGCCTTTCCAGTTAACATTTTGTCTTCTTCCATGTTTGCTTTTATTGAACATGCCACTTCCTGAGCCCTCTGGTGCCCAGGCTTTCATCAACCCATGCTGCACTCTCTGCTGTTAAATGGCTCTCTCTCTCCTGTTGAATCCTGTACTGAAGGGGCTGTATTGCTTTGGGGGACTTTCAGCTGGAACACCTTTGAGGTCTTGCTACAGTGAAAGGTTTATTGGAAGAGGTAGAGATGGAGAAGTTTTGAGGAGTGAGCACTGCCTGTCTTGCCCAACTTTAGGTCAATACAGCCTCTCAGGACCTGTGCATTATTTAAATGCTGGACTGCTTGTCACATAGCCAGTGCAAAAGTAGGATATTCTAAGAATCAGCGTAACGCCTCTCAAAATAGGGATTGTGTAACTAGCCTGATGGGAGGAGCAAGGCTGTCTTCTGGCATGGGTTAACAGGTAAGTGTAGCTGAGCCTGTTCCTCAGTAGGTTTAGGAGATCTTGTGCAATATTTGCTCTCTGACCTTGCAGTTGAGTTCCGAGTCAAAACCGTATCGCAGTATGGCTTTGGGGTCTGACATCATGGACACCTTCACAGTTCTGTCCTCATCCAGATGGAAGTCCTGCAGGGCAGTCTTCTTGGTATCAAACTTGGTTTTCCACATCCCTATTTTTTAAAAGATAACATGGAGGATTTTCTGGAATAATAGCATAGGAAACTGGGCTTCTGTCTGTGTCTGAGTAATCTTGTGCTTTATATATATATATATATATATATATATATGTACACACACAGTATTTGTGCTTTAAGAGTTGAGGCATAACTGAATGATGATAGAAATGGAAATAGACTGATTTGACTTACTGATTTACTGCCACTCTTTGACCTCTCCTTTTCATCTGAGAATTGGCTAAATGGGAAATAAAAAATCAAGCCAGTGTATGGGTGGAGTAGCTATTGGGAAGCTGATGTCTACTTATGTAATTACAAAACTATTTTAAAGGGTAACAATTGTGTCAATGCATATAAAGTGCTTCTCTCCCCACCCTTTATTTTGTTCATTGTCTCTAAGCAATAATTCTCCAGGACCCTGGCTGACAGCATGTTCTGGAACAGCTCTCCAATATCTCAGTCCATTCCCTCTACAGTGGTGAAAAGGCTCAGCACACTCTTTAAGCTGTGCCTTCCCTAAATGGTAACGTTCCGTCTCTTGCCATGGAGTTTTGTGAGCTTAAACTTTCTTCTCTGGTCTCTTGATGCGATCAGGTCAAGATTCAGCTTCACAAGAGTAATAATTCCTCCCTCAAAGACTATTTCTGTTCAGGAGCATTTTTTCTCCTTTACTAAACATTCTCAAACACTTTCTTCTGCTCTGTCTCTTTGGCAGTCTGTTTGCTCTCTTGGAAGTGAGAGCATTCCCTCACATCTCTTCTAACACATGCTTAATAGAACCTTTCTGCAACCAAGTACACAACATTCTTACCCTTGAAGAAAGCAGCCCCAGCAAGGAGAATACTGACATCTGTGGGCATTTCTTTCATAAACCGCATAATCCTTCCCTTTGTCTGCTGCCGTACCCAGTTGTTGATTTCTTGGAAGTCTAACTGGGTATTGCCACTTAGTGCCCTCAGACGCATCTTGTAGGACTTCTCCAGTTGGCTGTGAAAACCAGGCTTCACTCTCAGTCCTGGGGAACAAAAACATTGATATTGCAGCTAGCTCCCTTCTCAAAACAATCTCAAGGCAGCAGATTGCAATCCAAAGCCCAGCAGCAGTTCTCTCACAAAACATCTGTGGCTGTGTGTATACAGAAACCTGCTTTGAATGACTGAAGGCACATGGAGGAACCTGATCCAAATCCTATAGCCACCCATGCTGGAGGATGGGCTAACTGTCTCCTGAAAAGTAAAGAAGGGAGGTAAGAACAGAAGGCTTGGACACAGCTGTTCCTGCGGCAGTCTTTCTTCTTTCTCCAGCTTGCTTTATGAGTACAGCTTACTCAACCTATTGGATTCTTGGAACCAGCAGGTTCCAAAAGATAGCTCTTAGCTTTCTCAGCAGATGTTTGTCACATGCTGAAAGCAGACATCTCAAATAGTTCTGCAAGGAAATAAACAAAGGAATAGGGCTGAATGCTATCACAAATACAAAATGTGATTTGTGGTTCCTGGAAGTTAGCAACACCTGCCAGAAAACCTAGAGAGAAGGCAAAATTCTCAACAAGTTTCTTCTAGGTCTTTTGCCTGCTAGCTGCTGTGTCACTGGCGTCTTTGTGTGCATAAGTCTGGTCTTTTATTTATGTGCACACAAACCTTCCAGGCTTTTTCTGGAGCAGCAACAGCATTCCAAGCACTGTCTGCGTCCTGGCTCAACAATATATCAGAGCCAAGGCTCTGTGTGGTGTTAATCAGTGTGTTCTCTCTGCTGCTAATTATTTAGGTAAAATTTGATAGAGGGGAAGGACTTTTACTTTTCTCCAAGATGATACGGGAGGCACTTTTCATGCTCTTCTCTGGTCCAGTCACGCTAGTCAGTAGGTCCTTGTAAGTGTTGTGGACCTCAGCTTTGTTCAGCAGATCATAGAAGAGAGCACGAGAAATCACATCTTCTGTTCGTTCTCCAGCCCCTGCCAACAAGAAGAACAACGGTATGAGGGGAGGCCTGTTGATCTGAGCAGTGCATGAGGAAACAAGCCAGGAACTCACCAAGCGAGAGACCAGAAAGTGCAGTAGCCAGGCTGAATGGGGACAGTAGCACGTTGGCAGTGGCTGTCCGGCTAGATTGCTGACGGTACAGATCATAGCCAAAGTTGGAGACTGCAGCTGCCAGCTTGTTTATAGGGTTCTTATAGAAGGGATCTTCCTCTTCGACCTCCCCGGCATTGGCTCCATCAGCGGTGGCAGAGTTCTAGCAGGTACAGGGAGGGCAGTTTACAAGGGCAGGTAGAGTTGTGATAAACATTTTGAAGGCAAGCAATCTACAGATAATCTTCCAGGATCCACAGAAATACTGACTTGATCTTACTGATAGACAATGTGTAGGAACAGTGACTTTAAAATGTCCCAGTAAAGCCGAAGGCAGTGCTCAGATTGGACTCCACTATTTCTGCCTCACATCCCCTGATGTAATGACTGTGGTTTTAGCTAGGTAAAGCAGGAGTTAGTCTCATTATGTTGCTAAATAAAATCCTAGTAACTTAGGAGGGTAGTGCTTAATCCTTCCTTAAGATTCTCTAAAATTAAATAACCTACTCCAAGGATCTCTCCCTCACTCTGCATGTTGTCTGCTACTCACCTGCTGAGCAGCCGAGCTCTGGGATCTGCTTGGGACGGTGAAGAGACCCAGGAAAAGGAGAACCACTGGAATCTGCATGCCTGAACCTACAGAATAAAACATGACGGAGATAGTTT